ATTTCAGGTAAAAAAGGAATAATTTTTTAGTATAAGCAAATCTAAATTATTGCATGGGACATATTTATGCTAAAAACTATTCATTTCTTCTGACATCTAAATGTAACTGGACATGTACATGTTATGTTTTTATTTCCTGAATCTGACAGGTTTAACTCAAGGTTAATTGGTCCCAAAACCCAAGCTCTTTCCATGTGTGGCATTAAAGAAAAATTGGTTATTCGAATATGGTCTACATCATCACCATTTTTCTTGTTCTTTAGTAAATTCATGTTTCCTGTGTTTCTAATTATTCTTGACTACTCTCTGGTAGTCAAGAGAAGGGAATTATGAAGTAACTCAAATCACATAGTATTATTTCTAGCAATACTGGCAGAATTTAAGTGACCAGAAGAAGGTGAATTAAAAAATAAAAATTGTCAGGTGCTAACCTTCCCTGCGAAGGCTGCCTTGAGTTATCCATGCTGTGTTAAGCAGTCCCCTTCTGGGCTCCATACATTGCTCTGAAATATCCCTCTACCAGGACATGTCTCACACCTTATCACAAGGGTTCTCAACATGGCTATTATCAGAACAAGTTGGAGGACCTTCGTTAAACCAGAGATTGATGGACCCCATTTTCACCATTGCTGATTCAACAGGTCTGAGGTGAGCCTTGAGAATTTGCACTCTGCCCAAGTATGTTAACACTATTAGTCAGGGGACCACACTTTTTTCAAATTAAAAATTTTAAAGTTATTTTTATTTTATTCAGCTTTATTGAAGTATGATTGACAAATACAAGTCACATATATTTAAGGTATACAAAGTGATGCTTTGATGTAAATACACATTGTGAAATGATCATCATAATCAAGCTAATTAATATATCTATTACCTCACAGTTTCTATTTGTGAGTGTATGTGTGTGGTGAGAACACTTAAAATCCACGTCTTAGCAAATTGCAAGGGTACAACCCAATGTTATTAACCATAGTCACCATGTTTTATGTGTAAAGTTTGTACCCTTTTGCCAGTATCTACCTGTTTTCTCACCTTGTGACCCCGGGTAATCACCCTTCTACTCTCTGTTTCTGAGTTAAAATTTCTTAGATTCCACATACCAGCAAGATCATGCAGTGTTTATATTCCTGTGTTTGGGTTCTTTCACTTAGTGTAATGTCTTCCAGATTCAGCCATGTTTTCACAAGTGATAGGGATTTATTTCCTTTTTAAGGCTAAATAATATTTCTCTCTCTCTCTCTCTCTCTCTCTCTCTATTTCTCTCTCTCTCTCTCTCTCTGTGTGTGTGTGTGTGTGTGTGTGTGTGTTTGTGTGTGTGTGTGTATCAATCACATTTTCTTTATCCATTCATCCATTGACAGACAGGGACACTTAGGTAATTTCCATATCATGGCTATTGTGAATAATGATGCAGGGATGGCACTTTGAGGAACATGCTTCTATTCTTGTTGGTTTATTCCTTGTTTCTTTTGACAAAATGGTGAGATCCTTGATGATAACTGTAATGTTGACTTCTTGAAATTCAATTTTCCAAAAGTCACCAAAAATTAAGTCACCAAATTATTGTAGATTTACTATCAATATGTTTGGTTTGCCCCTGCTCTAGCATTTGCCCTGGAGAAAAAAAATGTCTGTGGTAAACTCTCCTAGACTTCATTTACAGTAGTTGTCAAACAATCTCTGTGGCTAATCCAGAGATGATGGTATAGGGGAGGACAAGTACACACCACGATATTGTTTGACTGTGTCCCTACCCAAATCTCACCCTGAATTGTAACTCCCATAATCTCCAGTTATCATGGGAGGGAGCAGTGGGAGGTAAATCAATCATGGGGGTGTGTTTTGCCCATGCTATTCTTGTAATAGTGAATAAGTCTCACTGGATATGATGGTTTTGTAAAGGGGAGTTTCCCTGCACATACACTCTTGCCTGCTGCCATGTAGGATGTGTCTTGCTTCCCCTTCACCTTCTGCTATGATTGTGAGGTCTCCCCAGCCATGAGGAACTATGAGTTCATTAAACCTCTTTTTCTTTATAAATTACTCAGTCTCAGGTATGTCTTTATTAGCAGCATGAGAACTAATACACACCACTAGAGAGAGGTTAAAATAATGTACACACAGACACAGTAAAGGGAAGGCACATTCAATCATCTAAATGAGCAAGGACAAAAGTAAAATTAAAAAAATTAATGTGGTGAAAGAACTTTTCATTGATCTAGCCTTTTAGTGAATTAATATAAGAAAACTTTTTAGTTGTTGTCCCTGAGTTGCCATTTACAAAGTGGCTTTGATCTCTTCTTGGACAAGACTTGTGTCTTGTTTACCTGTCCTCAACACATAAGTTAAACAGTAAGTACTTAGTGTTTTGGTATAATTGGTGAATAAATAAATTAATAGAGTTCAATTAGCCATGATATTTTTGAAGCTAATGACTGATAAAGAATTATTCAAATATCAAATTTGAAGGAAATCTGCAGTTTTTCCTACAAAGAAGAGCCTAAAAGTGATCATTTTATTAATAGATTTAATGCCATCCCCAAATAAAAAATGTGTCTCTTGAGAGTAGCTTCTGTTCTTTGAGACTATGATTTCATAAATTCTGTTTTTCCATCTGGCAACAACATCTTAGCTGTTTTGAAGAGTAAAAGTTCTTACAAAAATTACATAATAGCATTAATGAGGAAAGTAAAAATCAAGTCCACATCACCCTGCCTCCTGAAACTACAGTAATGTGGGTATTTCTGCTGATCTGAAAAACTTTTGTTGTAGCAGAAGATACGTCAGGGAAATGTTGATAATTGAAATTCATTTCAGAGAACTTTAAGTAACATACAGTTGAAAATATGGGTGATAGAACTGCTATCCCTCTATGTGTCACAAAGCTGGAATTTCCTTTAGTCTTTCCTATAATAGTTTAGAAGGAAATTTTTACATGGTCTAGAAATCATTCAAAAATGAACATCCCTCCCAAATTCATCTTACATCATATAATCTCATAATTGGAAGGAAGTTGAAAAATTATGTATTTAAAATATACATTCAAATTAGAATTTCCTTTTATATAACGACTGCCTATTTTTTCCTTGGCAAGGAGGTTCATTACTGCACAAAGAACACAAAAGTTTTAGTTGCAATAAAACTCTTTTTTTTTGTGTTGGACTAAAATCCAACTTTACTAATATATCAGATATTGATATATGCTTATTCACTTATTTAATTTGCTTGTTACTATGTACAATTATAATCATTTTTGAGCTGGGGCTAGTCATCAGGAATACAAAGATGGAACGCTGTGGTTTGCTCTCAAAGGTCATATGGTTTAGCGGGGAAAAAGAAACATGCAAACAAACAACAACAAAGAAAGATTGCTTTAGTGATGGCTAAGGATGAGTTGCATTACAGGCAGGAAAATAGCAAGTAGCAAGGCCAATATATTAAGATATATATATATTGTTCTATAGCACAGACTGTGTGTGCTGTGTGCACATGTGCTGGGGGTGGGGTAAAGGGGAAGTCAGAGTGAAGTGGCAGGGCACAAGGCTAATCACAAAAGTAGGCACACACATTCAGATGAGTTTATTTCTTACTCTGCAGGATGCATGGAAAAATGTGAAGCAAAGACGATTAGTAACATGATCATATTTTCATGTGAGAAAGATAGTTTTGACAACACTCTATAGGATATATTATAGATGAGATGGGGCCAGATAGCTATGTGAGGAACTTGCTGCAATTGTTCAGACTAGGCTAGAAAAAAGAAAGTAGAGAAGTCAGGAAGGAATAGATTTGAGATAAATTTAGAAGGAATAATTGAGAAGATTTGGTGACTTATGGTGTTTGAAAAAAGGGAGATGCAATAATATTTTACATGAACTCAAATTTTGTGACTTTGACCTTTACACCTCATGGACCAGCAGCATTGGCATGATCTGGGAACATGTTAAAATGCAGAATCCTGGGTCTCACTCCAGAAGTACCAAATTAGAATTTGCACCTTAAGTGGATTCTTAGGTAATCCCTTTGCACATTGAAGTTTGAGAAGCACTGACTGAGACAAAAGGGTGAACAGAGGCACCATGCTTGAAGGCACAAAACTCAGGAGGAAAACATAGTGGATTCTTTCAGGGGTGGGTTGTTCAGAATGGAAGAGAAGGATGATAACTTCAGTTTAGGCATATTGAAGAGTTTGATCTGTCTGTAGAAGATCCAATTGAAAAAGCCATTGTGTATAAGAGTCTAGATCTCAGGAGAAAAAACTATTTCAGCAACTACCAGAGCATAGGAAATAGTGGGACTAGAGGAGATTACCCAAGAATATAAATAGACTAATGACCAATTATATTTTGATATTGACATCAGATCCCTAGTCATTAGAAACTTAGAATATTTTCAAGCCACTTTCTTCAATTTGAACCATTTGAAAACCTATTTCAGTCCCCAAAGATGGCCCCAAACAATCTTTCCCTCCTTATATGTGTGTGCTGTTCTTCACATCAAGAGGTAGTACTCAATTACCTTCTCCTTGAATCTTGACTATCCTAGAGACTGGCTTTGCCAAAGCAAAAGTATTTAGAGTGATAACCCAGGGCTTCCAAGCCCAGGCTTTAAGAGGTCTAGCATATTCTACTTCCTTTCTTGGGGTAGCTCAAACCACATGGGGAAGCCATGTGAAAGAGAACTGAGGCACTACCTTCAACATCTCCAGCAGAGCTCCCAGCTCACAGCCAGTACCACTACCAGATATGAGTGACCCACCTTGGATATTGCAGCCCAGTGAAGACCCAGATAACTACAACTTAAGCTGACATCTTGTGATTAGAGCTGTCTAGCTGTACTGAGGTCAGTCAACCCACAGAATTATGAGATATGACAAAATGGTTGTAGTTTTAGGCAATTAAGTATTGGCACTGGTTTTTTATTTAGTAGTAATCTAATATTTGGGTAGCTAATTGGACACAGGATGCATTTTTAATAAAAAAAATGCTTATATACATGTCAATAAATGATAGATGAAGAAAATAACAATTTAATTTAATTGGCAATAATTATTGCTTATAATTAAATAACCAAGCACTAACTTTGAGGAATCTCTTTCCACTGTTAGTTCCTTCGCTCTAGTTACCTTTTCTTCTATCCTCAGCTTCTGCATTCCTATTGTCATTGCTTTAGTTCAGTCTCTGATATCTATTACCTGGAATACCGTAAGGCTCTTTATACCTTCAATTGTGCTTCCTGGGTTAGCCATTCCCTCTTAATGCCATCAGAATAATCTTTCTAAAATGTATTTGAACAAAGAGTTTAATGTTACATCATTAAGTATAGCATAAATTAATTAATTCAGTCATTCAGTTAACTGCTTGTTATCAAGGCATGAAGGTTGTTTATGATTTTAGGTGAATCTTACTCCAGTTCCACCTCCTTCCAAGAATTTTGTATTACTCATACAGTGATTTTTTTTTGGGGGGGGGGATCAATCTATGCTGGTTTATCTTCTATTCCCCAAATCTTTGGCATGTACTTCCAACCCTCTGTGCATTTTTTCTAGGCCTTATTGCCTTTCTTCCTTCCCACTTTATTTTTCTATGGTAACTGCCCTCACCCTTCAAGGTTCAAGTCAAATACTACCTTCTTGGCTAAGATTTCTCTATGCTACTACTCAGGAAAAAATGGCCTACTTCTCTTGAACCTCCTGTGTTTTTTAGCCATTTTAACCAACTAGAAGTATCTTACTAAGCACACACTGTGTTAAATACTTCACATACAGTGTTTCTATATGAAATTTTAAAAAAGAACAAACAACAAATAGAACAGACAAATTCTAAAAAAGCATAGAATTACTACTTCCATTTCATAGATAAGAAAACTGAGATCTGGGGATCTTGTAACTTGCCCAAAGTCACAAAGTTATTAAGGTTCAGGGCCAGACTTCTAGACCAGGCTTATCTAACTCAAACAGCTGAAATCTTAAACACCAAATTATGTTGTCTTTTTCTATGAAGTATATTTTAGTCTCATTTGTACTATTGTCAGTTATGCAAGATTCATCTCACTTTAGACTTTAATTTCCTTGAGAAAAGGAGGTCTTAATATCCCTGCAGTTAACAGGGTGTTCACTACTTCTCTGATAAGTGATTTTCTAAATTGATTTAGTTTAACTCAGGTTAGTGGTATATACCATTTTAAATAACTTGCTATATGCCTTGCATGGTTCGATGTGCCAGGGAGGAGAGGAAAAAAATATACCCTAATGTTCCCTACCTTAAATCTTGTAATAAAACTGGAACGGGAAGACAGATATTACTACCACCCCAGCATCATACACAGAGTTTTAAACAATTGTGCTCTAACAAAGATCTTTTTACTGTTAATCACTCTCTGTACAAGCATTTCTTTCACACATTTTCTCTTCCTTCTATGTTACTGAAGTCCAGTGTTCCCAACATTGATATGCATTGTAACAGATGGCGCTATCCAAGAAAGAAGGGGACAAAAGTACTCACCTCATGTTAAAGTCTAAGAAGAGATAATTTATTCACCTGACACTCGCTGCATTGACATACAACATGAGCTCATTGTTTTGGCAATCAGCATACTACTACTTCTAGCAGGGGAAAAACACAACAATCTCCTTCTGTTTCACAATCCCCTATTTCCAATTTCCAGCCTCATGCACTCTCTTCCTACACCCAGTGTTAAGTACTAACAATGAAGGTTTTGCTAATGTGAAGATAGCGTTGTTAACTACCAATGGAAAAAGTACATTTTTTTTTAAGTTTACAGAGGAGCCAGAAAAGCTGCAGCTTCTACCCACTCCCTAGATTCTATCCACCACAATGAAAAGTTGATCGAAGTTATAGATCTTCTTCTTAAGCAAAATGTCCACCAGCAATATTTGATATTGCTTCAGTGTGATTTCTCATGAACTCACAGAGGATCCAAGGGCTCCCTATTCATAATTCTAGTCTTGGAATGTGTGACACAAGAGGCCCTTCTCCATTGCCAATCCATGCCTGAGTTCTTTCTGGTCATGTCCCATCTTTCATTTCATCCTTTAGCAATTTCTGAGATCTTTTGTAATGCATAAAACAATGAGGCCTCTCTTGCCTTAATGCCTTTGCGTATACTGAACTCTCTGGGGTTTGCCTGGAAGGCACAATTTTTACCAACCTTCAAGACCTGGCTTAAGAAATAAGTTCTCTGAGAATTCTTTTCCACATTTAAAGCCAACTTAAAATTTTCTTTCTGTATATTCTCATCAAATCTTATGGAAATGACCATCAAATTGCACTCTAATTGCTAGTCTGTGTCCCCACTTAAAAACACTCCTTAAGAGCAAGAAACTTATTTATATATATATGTATTTATATTTTTATGATATATTATGCAAAAAATTCACTGCGTTTCTGTTCAACAAATGGCTGAAAAGTGGCTCTCTACTTCAGTAGCTTTGTGGGTTCTGATTTTCAGATTGCCTGGCTTGATACCCTGGCTCTACCACTTAACAAGTTGTGTGATGTTGGGCAGTCACATGTCCCTGCAGTTTCTATGATTATGTCTCCAATCAACTCCACATCTTTGCATCTCTGCTGAAAACATGAACCCTTGAGAGAGAGAGCACTGAATTGACTGCATTTCAATATCTGTCATCTTCTGGCCAATCTGGGTAAGGAAAGGAAGATCTGGAATGAGAGACAGCCATTTCCTCCAGGACCACACAACTTGGGGAGTTCCCCAAAAGAAAGATAAGGGTGCATCAGGGACTGGAGAAGGAGGAAATGGGAGTTATTGTTTCATGGCTATAGAATTTTGGTTTTGCAAGATGAAAAGAGTTCTGGAGATGGATGGTGGTTATGGTTGCACAACAATGTAAATGTACTTAATGCCACTGTACAGTACACTTAAAAATGGTTTAGATGGTAAATTTTATGTTATATATATCGCACTAATGTTTTGAAAATAATTAAAAGATAATAAAGTTAAAAAACAATGCAAATAGGAAAGAGAGTATTGACAGTCAAAAAAATGTTGAGTGTTCATGACAGAGCCCCCAAAAAGAAATGCTTAGAAATTAACTAGAGCATTGCTGACCTCAGGGGTACTTTGCTGCGATGTGGCCTTGGGCAAGATTAGATTGCTCCTGGTCAATTATTGCTCTGTTTCTACTACCTGCCCCTTTGTAGCTCCTGTGGCTCCTCTTTGTTTTCCAGGTCTGCTCTTCCAAACTCTGTCAATTGGATGGGCCCCTGATAACGTTCCAGTAAATTTCTTTTCTGCTTAAGATAGCCACAGTCTATTTCTTTTACATGTAATTAAGAACCCTGACTTATAAAGACTTTTATAAGCCTCCAATGAGACGGCTTAGAAGAGATCCTGAGGGGAAAACTCCCAAAATAAAGATTTGAGACCCTTGTGAAGTTGTCTCATCCCACCTAGAGATTTTCTCTAACCTATATTTAATTATTCCTTGTAAGAGCTGAGGTTTTATTTAAACAAATTTTGTGTAAGTCATACTTCAGGATTCATCGTCCTTCTAACTTCTCACATTCTCTCATGCCTTCCTTGACTGGTCCCTTTTGCAGTGCTTTTCTGACATTTCCCACATTCTTAGTACATGCTTTCACTGGGAAGGAAGCAAACTTGTCTTTGATGCTCCATTTACTCATCTATGTTCCTGACTCGGCCATGATTCCTATGAGAAAGCAGATCATATATTAATGTCTGTATACCTTCAGCACCTAGGAAGTCCCTGGAATCTAGTAGATCAATAGTAAAAGAATTAATGAGGAGGAAAGTGAGTGGATAAATTGCTGAATGCAATCAGTTTGGTCTGGAAAATCCTACTGGATTGTTCACCTCCCCACTGATTTCCCTTTTCCCCTCAAGCTCTCTAGACTGAAGATACTCCGTTTGAAGTCCCATTACCATAGTCAACATTTCCACCATGGCTAATAAATTAGCATCACTTTGAAAACAAAAACGATTCCATTTTGCACTTGGAATGTGGCTCTGTGAATTAGAAAGGGCAGGGGTGTTACTCTCCCTCAGGCTTGGAAAGTCTCTTGGTGTTTTATGAGGTAACGATTTCTGTTTTTACTGGATTTGCCGGTCTCTAGCTTGCCCCTGGGAGCCTGAATGAATGCCAAGAGTATAAAGAAAAACAGCATGCTCCCTGCTACCTAAAGACCAAGTAACCTCCTAACCGAGAGTCATCTATGATTGTAATTCTGAACATGGACTTTTTTTTTTTAAAGAGAAAAAGCAAGTAGAATTAGGTCTAAATACATGGCTTTGTTAGAAGCAGTTGGTAACAGGTTCCTTTTCTGCTCATCTGCCTGTGGGAAAGTCCTGAAAATGAGGCAACTAGGAAGATTTTTTTTCTCATGATGGTCTTCTAAAGAAGACCATCATGAGAAAATATGTCAATTTTTATTGACATATTAATATAATATTTACACATATTTATGGGGTACATGTGATAATTTGTTACATGCATATAATGTATAATGATCAAGTCAGAGTGTTTAGGGGATCTGTTACCTTGAGTATTTATTATTTCTATGTGCTCAGAACATTTCAAGTCCTCTGTTCTAGTTATTTTGAAATACGTGATTCACTGATGTTACCTGTAGTCACTCTACTCTGTTATCAAACAGTAGAACTTATTTCTTGTATCCAACTGGGTGTTTGTATGTTTGTATCCATCAACCAAACTCTCTTCATTCTTCCTCCCTCCCTGTATACATCCACACATACCCTTCCCAACCTCTAGTAATCTTCATTCTACTTTCTTTTTTTTTTTTTTTGACAGGTAAACAGTTTTTTTTAATTCATCCTCCTCTTCCTCCTCCTCCTCCTGCTCCTCCTCCACCTCCTCCTCCTCTTCCTCCTCGTCTTCTTCATCTTCCTCTTCCACTTTTTTCCAGGCAACTTTAGCGGGATCCTTTGCACCATCAAACTTTCCTTTCGACTTATAGTCAGCAACATCCTTCTCATACTTCTCCTTCAGCTTTGCCACCTTAGTGATGTAAGCCTGCTTTTCGCTGTCATTTAGGTTATTCCACATCTCACCCAGCTTTTTTGCCACGTCTCCAATAGAGATGCCAGGGTTTGTGGATTTGATCTTGGGGCGGAATTCTGAGCAGAACAGGAAGAAGCCAGACGGTGGCCTTTTGGGGGCATTAGGATCCTTCTTCTTGCCTCCCTTAGCTGGTCCATAATCCTTCATTTCCCGATCATAGCGCACTTTATCCGCCTTTGCCATTTCATCAAATTTAGATTTCTCTTTCCCGGACATTGTCTTCCACCTCTCAGAGCATTTCTTGGAAAATTCTGCAAAATTGACAGGGACCTCTGGGTTTTTCTTCTTATGTTCTTCTCTGCACGTCTGCACAAAGAAGGCATAAGCAGACATCTTGCCCTTTGGTTTCTTGGGGTCACCTTTAGCCATCCTGACTGTATTGTTAGCTAGTCTCTCTTCATTCTACTTTCTACCTCCATTAAACCAACATTTTTTAGATTCCACATGTGAGTGAGGTTATGCAATATTTGTCTTTCTGTGCCTGGCCTCTTTCACTTAACATAATAATCTCCAGTTCCATCCATGTTGCTGCAACTTACATAATTTCATTCTTTTTTATGGCTGAATGGTATTCTATTGTGTATGTATGCCACATTTTCTTTATGCATGCATCCATTGATGGACACTTAGGTTGATTCAATATCTTTGCTGCATTGAATACTGCTGCAATTAACATGAGGGGTACAGATATCCTTTTGTTACGTTGATTTTTTTCCTTTGAATATATAGCCAAGAAGTGGCATTGCATGATTGCATGGTAGTTCTATTTTCAGTTTTTGGTGAAATCTCCATAATGTTTTCCATACAGGTTGCACTAATTTACAGAGGCCTGTATTGGTCAACACTACCTTTTCTCTGCATACTTGCTAGCTTCTGTTATTTTTTGTTTTTTTAGTAAGAGCCATTCTAATTGGGGTAAGATATCTTTATGTGATTTGGATTTGGATTCACTGATTATTAGTGATATGGAGCATTCTTTAATATGCCTATGGGCTATTGGTATGCCTTCTTTTGAGATATGTCTGTTAGTGCCCTTGGCCACTTTTAAGTGAAATTATTATTATTATTTGCTGTTGAGTTGTTTGAGTACCCTGTATATTCTGGATATTAGTCCCTTGTCAAATGAATAGTTTGAATTGTTTCCTCATATTCAACAAGTTTTCTCTTCATTCTGTTTCCTTTGCTGTGCAGAAGTTTTTGGTTTAATAGAGTCTCATTTCTCATTTGTCTATTTTTTATTTTTTCTGACTGTGATTGCTTTTTTTTTTTCTTTTTTGAGACAGGGTCTGGATCTGTAATCCAGGCTGGAGTGCAGTGGTGCCACCCTGGCTCTCTGCAACTTCTGTCTCCTAGGTTTAAGTGATTCTCACATCTCAGCCTCCTGAGTAGCTGGGACTACAAGGCATGTACCACAATGCCTGGCTAATTATTTTATTTTATTTTATTGCATTTTTAGTAAAGATGGGGATTCACCATGTTGGCCAAGCTGATCTCAAACTCCTGACCTCAGGTGATCCACCCACCTCAGCCTACCAAAGTGCTATGATTACAGGCATGGGTCACCATGTCTGGCAATTCTGTCTGTGCTTTTGAGGTTGTAGCCATAAAATCTTTCTCCAGGCCAATGTCTTGGAGTGTTTCCCCTACATTTTCTTCTAATAGTTTTATAGTTTCAGGTCTTACATTTAAATCTTTGATCCATTTGTAGTTCATTCTTGTATATGGTGAGAGACAGAGGTTCCGTTTTATTCTTCTGAATATGGACATCCATGTTTTCCAGTACCATTTATTGAAGAGGGTGTTTTGTTTTCCCAATGTATGTTTTTTAATACCTTTTCAAAAATCATTTGGCTGTAAATACATAGATTTATTTCTGGGTTGACCAGACAATGTCTGTTCCATTCGTCTACATGTTAGTTTTTATACCAATACCATGCTGCTTTGGTTACTGTAGACTTATAATATGTTTTGAAGTGAGATAGTGTGATGTCTTAGCTTTGTTCATTTTGCTTGGGATTGCTTGACTCTTCAGGTCTTTTTGTCCTTCATTCTGTTGATGTGATGTGTCACATGTATTGATTTGTATATGTTAAACTATCCATGCATTCCTGGGACAAATCTCTCTTCATCATGTTTTATTATCTTTTTGTTGTGCTTTTGTTTGGTACTACATTGTTGAGAATTTTTGCATTCATGTTCATCAGGGGTATTGGCCTGTACTTTGCTTTTTTTGTTGTGTCCTTTGTGTAATTTTGGTATAATGACAATACAGGCCTTGTAGAATGGGTTTAAGAGAATTCTTTCCTCTTCAATGTTGTGAAATAGTTACAGGAGAATTGATGTTAGTTCTTTTTTATAAGTTTGGTAGAATTTGGCACTGAAGCCATTTGGTCCTAGGCTTTCATTTGTCAGGAAACTTTTTATTATTGATTCAATCTTTTTACTCTATATTGGTCTGTTCAAGTTCTCTATTTCTTTTGAATCAATCTTACTCCTTGTATGTGCCCAGAAATTTATCCAAGTTTCCCGGTTTGTTAGCATATAGATGTTCATAATAATCTCTGATGATCTTTTCTATTTATTTATTCAGTTGTAATGTCTCCTTTTTCATTTCTGATTTTGTTTGAGTCTTTTGTCTTTTTTTATTAATTTAACTAGCAGTTTATCTATCCAAGAAAATGCCTTTTCATTATTTTGATCCTTTATATACATTTTTTGTCTCTGTTTTATTTGGTTTTTCTCTGATCCTTATATACTTTATTTGCTTCTACTAGTTTGGGTTTTGGTTTCTTCTTACTTTTCTAATCCTTGAGGCACACTGCTGTACTGCCTATTTGATATAATTCTACTTTTTGATGTAGACATTTATTGCTATAAACCTCTGTCTTAGGACTACTCTTGCTGTATCCCATAAGTTTTGACATTTTGTGTTTCCATTTTCATTTTTTCAAGACATTTTGGTATCTCTTTTAATTTTTTCCTTGACCCAATGGTCATTCAGGGTCATGTTGCTTAATTTCCACTGTTTATACAGTTTCCAAAGATCCCTTTTTTTTGTTAATTTTTAGTTTTATTCTAGTGTGGTCTGAGAAAATATTTTATATACTTTTAACTTTTTAAAATTGGTTGTGTTTTAACATATGGTCTCTCCTGGAGAATGTTTCATGTGATATTGAAAACAATGTGTATTTTGTAACTGTTGGATAAAATGCTCTGTGAATGACTGTTAAGTCCCTTTGGTCTAAAGTGCAGTTTAAAGCCAATGTTTCTTTGTTAATTTTCTGTCAAGATGACCTCTCTAATATTGACAGTGGGGTGCAGAAATTCTTAACTACTATTATATTGAAGTTTATTTCTCCCTTTAGACTTAATAAGTTTGCTTTATATTTGCTCCACTGTTGTGTACATGTATATTTAGAATTGTTACATCTTCTTGTTGAATTGATGCCTGTAATGTAATGACTTCTTTGTGTTTTTTACTATTTTTGACTTAAAGTCTGTTTTATGTGATAGAAGTATAGCTACTCCTGCTAACTTTTGGTTTCCATTTGTATGAAATAGTCTTTCCATTTCTTTGCTTTCAGCATATATGTGTCTTTACAGGCGAAGTGAGTTTCTTTTAGACAGTATATAACTAGGCCACTTTAAAATCCATTCAGCCAGTCTGTATTTTTAAGTGAAAAATTTAAATCATTTACATTCAAGGCTATTACTAATACGTGAAGACTTACTCCTGTCATTTTGTCAATTGTTTTCTTGTTGTCTTATTGTTCTTTGTTCTTTTCTTTCTTCTTCCCTTTCCCTTCCCTCTCCTCCCCTCCCCTCCCCTTCCCTTCCTTTCCTTTCCTTTCTTTCCTTTCTTTCTAATTTTTATCATTGTGGTTTGATGGTTTTCTGTAATGGTAACCTCTGAGTCCTTTCTCTTCCTTATTTATGTGTTTGGTAAACCACGGAATTTTATACCTTTGTGTGATTTCATGATGGTAGACATATCATTTTTATTTCCAGGTGTAGGAATCCCTTACACATTTCTAGAATGGCTGGTGTAGTGGTGATAAATTCCCTCAGCTTTTGCTTATTTAGGGAATACTTTATTTCTCCTTCATTTATGAACAGTTAGTTTGTTAGATATAGTATTCATGGCAGATATATATATAGATATATATATATATATATATATATATATTCTTTCTTTCAGCACTTTAAATATGTCATTCCATTTACTCCTGGCCTATAATGTTTCAGCTGAGAAATCTGCTGTTAGTCTGAGGGAGGTTCCCTTACATATAACTAGATGTTTTTCTCCTGCTGTTTTTAGAATTCTCTCTTTGACTTTGACAATGTGACTATAATGCACTGTGGAAAACACATTTTTAGGTTGTTCTATTTGGTAATCTCTGAGTTTCATCGATCTATATGTCTAAATCTCTTGTCTAGGAAGGTTTCAGCTATTATTTTGTTAAAAAGGTTTTCTATGCCTTTGGCCTTCTCTTAATCTTCAGGAATACCAAAAGTTCAATATTTATTGGTTTTATGGGGTGTCATATCTCACATAAGTTGTGTCATTTTTTTCTCTCTTTTAAAAAAATCTGATTATTTATTTCAAGAGACCAGTCTTCAAGTTTTGAAATTCTTCTTCTAACTGATCTAGTTTACTGTTGAAGCTGTTCATTGTATTTTTTATTTCATTCATTGAAATCTTCTGTCATGTGATTTCTGTTTGGTTCTTTTTTATGATATTTATCTTGTTGGTGAATTTCTTATTCATTTCCTGAATTATTTTTTTGATTGATTTGTATCCTTTGTCTGTATTCTCTTGTATCTCAGTGATTATTATTTTTTTTTAGTATCATTATTTCAAATTCATTTTCTGGCATTTCTTTCTTTCTTTTTTTTTGGGACAGAGTGTCCCTCTGTTGCCCAGGCTGGAGTGCAGTGGCATGATCTCAGCTCACTGCAACCTCCACCTCCCTGGGTTCAAGCAATTCTCATGCTTTCACCTCCCAAATAGCTGGGATCACAGGCATGCACTGCCACACCTGGCTAATTTTTGTATTTTTAGTAGAGCAGGGTTTCACCATGTTGGCCAGCCTGGTCTCAAACTCCTGACCTCAAGTGCTCTGCCTACCTCAGCCACCCAAAGTGCTGGGATTTCAGGCATAAGCCACTACACCCAGCCCATTTTCTGGCATTTTATACATTTCTTATTTATTGGAATCTGTTGTTGCAAAATTACTGTGTTTCTTTGGAGATGTGATTCTTCTTTATTTTTTCATGTTCCTCTGTTCTTATGTTGAACTGATATAATAGTTACTTCTACATTTTTGGATTGGCTATAGTAGTAGACTACTTTCTTCTGAAAATGTATGTATGCTGTTAGGT